TTTTTATTATTTTTTTTTTTTAATCAATTGAATACAATATTATGAGGAATAAAATTTATTCATACAGTTAAGCACAGACTCTCTAAAAACAAAATAGAAAGTACCAAACTTTTTGAAGAAATTAAATAAAATAATGTATGCCATTTACAATTAAGTAATTATGATTTTTCTTTTTAATTAAGTTTCCTTATAGTTTTCTCTTTTAAATTTGTAATAGATGAAAAAAGAAACAATGTAAAAATATTTCTTAAAACTAATCTCTAGTTTTTAATCTTTCACCTGTATGATTTCTGAAAATATAGAAGTGACCAGCTTCATATATTTTCTCTTTTCAATGCCTTCAAAGGCAAGTAGATTTATCGCAATTAACTCATTAAAAAAAACAAACTTTTATCTATATCTACTCTTTCAACTTTAGTCAGCTTTTAATTGACTTTAGAAAGATAAACATTCAGAGAAGAATGAAAACAAATTTCAAAATACATGTTTTATTGGTTGACCTTTTAGTGAGTAATGTGGTTCTCACAAGAAGGATAGTCTTACCTGGGAAAATTAACTTATGTACAAGAGATTTCTCATCAGCTTTTCTTTAACCAAGGACTGATAAAAAAATAGCTGTTGCAGATTTTATTTTGAAGTATCTTTATGATTCACATTATTTTCTCTTGATTTATTAGGTTAAAGAGCAAAATCTCAATAATTAGTAAATTAGTGATCTGCCATGGTTGCTACCTGTCCCCAATACGTACTGAGCTGCAATTGAAGATCATGACTGATTTGGTTCTGTACACACACAATATATATCAAGACCTGATGGCTACAGTTTATTTAATGCTTAAACACAATCATCAGGCCAATGATTGCTTTTAAGCAATGAAACACTGTTGTTGATCTCAATGTCCATTTTTATATTTACATATGCCCAATCTTTAATATTGGGCACTTTAATCCATAAATATAGCATACTTTAAAACTATATTTTTTATCTATATGAATAAATGTGAAACTGGAGCTCAATTCTCCCACAAATTCTGGGGTTAAAAGACCCCAACTCTATATAGTAATTTGGTATTTACTCGATCCCCCTGCCCACAAAGTCACATTGTGACACAAAGTTGCGCTGGCCTTGGTGTGAGCACTGATCCCTCTCTCTGGTGCAATCTCAGGCAGCTGTTCCTCAGGGTTGGGCATCTCTCAGTATAATTTTCCTCAGTTGCGACTCTGTCCTTTGACTGAGCCACCCCTAAGCACACTTTGCCAAAAGACAGAGGTGCAACTGAGAGATGATAAATGTGTTACAGACTACTCAAGAGAGCAATTTACATGCAGTATTTACTCTGTCTCCTGTCTAAGACAAGATGTGACACAAGGTCAGTTTTTAAGGTGGTGACCCAAGCGTGTACACCCAGACTAGGAACAAAAATTGCCCAAGCTCCTGCAAATGTTGGTTGTGCTGACCTTGTTGTTGCGAGCACCAATCCCTCTCTTTAGTGCAATGAGAGGATGCAGCCCCGAAGAGCTGTTTGCCAAGGCTGGGAACGTTTCAGTATAATTTTCCTCAGTTGCAACTCTATCATTTGATGGAGCTGCCCCTGAGTGCACTCTGCCCAAAGACAGACGCAACTGAGAGATGATAAAAAATATGTTACAAACAGCTTGAGAGAGCTGAGATTTACTTGACCCCCACCCCACTGAGTCAGGTTGTGATAGGTCACATGGGGACCTGAGTGTCTTCACTCGAGACGAATCCCTGTGCCCGGTAAATATCAATGTGTGTAAACCACTCAAGAGAGTGGTTTACACACTAGGTATTTACTCTCTCCCCACTAAGACAAGTTGTGACACAAGGTCAGTTTTTAAAGTGGGAACCCAAGTGCATACACATGGGCTAGGAACAAAAATTGCCCGCAGCCGTTTGGTTGTGCTGGCCTCAGTGTAAGCACTGATCGTTTTCTCTGGTGCAATGAGAGGGCGTGGATTCGGGTAGCTGTTTCCCAGAGCTGGGCACCTCTCAGTATAATTTTCCTCAGTTGTGATTCTGACGGAGTTGCCCATGAGTGCACTCTGCCCAAAGACAGAGATGCAACTGAGAGATGATAAATAATGTGTTACAAACCACTCAAGAGAGGTTAATTTACTTGACCCCCACCCCACTGAGTCAGGTTCTGACACAAGGTCAGTTTTTAACATGGAAACCTGAGTGTTTTAACTTGGGCTGCTGGTCTTGGCTGGTCATAGCTTGTCCACGCTGATCAGAGCTGGTCTAAGTTAGTCATAGCTGGTCTTAGCTCATCCACGCTAGTCATTGCTGATACTACCAGCATAGGAACGGGGATTCCTGTGACTGGTAAGTATCAGAATGTGTATACCACTCAAGAGAGAGGTTGAATTACTTGACACAACCCCCCCCCCACTGAGTCAGGTTGTGACACAAGGTCGGTTTTTAATGTGGGGACCCAAGTGTGTTCACTCAGACTGCTGGTCTAATCTAGTCATAACTGTGATACTACCAGCACAGGTACAGATCTCTGTGCCCAGCAACTATCAGAACATCTATACCACTCAAGAGAGAGGTTTACATGGTATGTCGAAAGTACTTGGAAATAAATATAATATGTATCAACAAGGTGATTTCGTCTTGTCATTCAATAATGACACATAAAAGCTTATCTGTGAATATGAAAGGATCCAGAACATATCTCAATATTGTCATTATATATATATATATATATATATATATATATATATATATATATATATATATATATATATATATATGAAAATGTTTTAAGAATGTGGACTCTGATTTATTATGGATAATATAATGATTAAAGCACTTAAAACAAATGTCTTTATAAGTGCTTTAATTGCTAGATCTACTGCTAATACATATATGAGGCATGGTGGAGTAATGGGTAGCAGCTTGGATTGAGGATTCACAGAGTTGAGTTATTGCAGTCACTTATTTGCAAATATCTTTGGGAAAGATATGAATCCATCTCTTCTCCCACCAGCTATGGATAAATAGCAAGATAGACTGTGTCCTATAGCCTTATGTGGCAAAGTGGAGAAGGGCAACTCTGAATTCAAAACTTCCAACTATAGATTAAATAGCCCCACCAACCTACAATTGGTCAGTCATGATGAGAAGGCATTGGAACGGGATTTGTTCTAATGAGTTTTCATCCTTATGATACCTTATGATAAAATCATCCAAAATGCTGATGTTAATTACTTTTTTAAAAAAATCCTTAGTGCACTTTGGAGATTAAAGCTTATTAGTGGAATAATATATGTCATCATATGTTTTTCTATAGCATATCAATAATAATAATAATGTTGAGTGGTGGGATATTGCACAGGAAGTTCATTAATGTAAAAATAACTCTAATAGCTGACCAATAAGATTAGATCTATTACATAGGTTTTGATTATTGGTCTTCAATCAATTAGGTTGTTATGTTACTATTATCTAAAATGACCTGCTACATAAAAATAGATAATATACAAATTATTTTCTTTTAACAACACTGCCTGTAACATTTCATTGAAGTTTTGCTTTTATGATCATTAATTTATTTCTTTTATTTCTTAATTTATTTTTTTTGTCTATTTTCTCGTTTAATATAAAAATTGACCAACACAAATATTTAATGAAGTAATTTTCTATTTAGCATTAATTGTAATTTGTTTTTATATTTGTAACTAAGCCAAAGTGTCAAAAAATTAAAGACAACAAGCAAATAAAATGTAGCTCCTCTCTTTACCTGAATACTAGCAGCTACACAATGTGACATGGAGTTTACAAGGTACTAAAGTCATACCAGGCATGTTTCAGGGCTTCCCATACCTAAATTGTGTTTGTTGGATATAACTGCAGAGTGAAGACTGTAACATATTCAATGGTGTTTAAATTTGGTGCATTCAGGGACCTGAGGAGTACTTGCAAGTCAGCCATATATTCTTAGAACTGTTTTTATATCAATGAAGGGAAAATGGTGATACATTATCTTTGCTGGGACTATTGGGTAACATGGCAAGCATGAATGAATGCAAATGACCTGCAAGATTTGTTGGTTTTTTTCACACCTATCAAGACAGACTCCAATTTTATTAATGATCCTTGAAAACTTCAACAAAACATACCACATGCCATGACATCAGCTTGCACAACACCTTACTGACAAGTTTACTCAGTATCTGCTTGAAATAGCTATCACCAAACAACACTGTGTCAGTTTTTTACAGTCTAATGACTATATTTTCTGGTTTAAGAGAGACTCAATAACCTATGCTATGGTGTCAGTAATTATACTCTTGTTCATCAACAACTATGAAACCTCAGAAAAAGAAATGTACACTGTACAGTACATAGACTGATAGGATAAGTGACACTGGTATTGGAAAAAAATTGATGTAATATTCCCCTTTATTAGGTGGTTACTATTCTTATCATCTGTGAGTTGTCCCATTCTTACACTTTTTACATGTAGCTGGTGTCAGTTCAGAATTCACATATTCCTGCTATACCCTTGATACTGTTTCCTGAGAAAAAAAACCTATAGCAATTGTAACTTCAGAGATAGTACCCAATCTTTTTACCCCCTCAATTTGTTAAAATTTTGTTTATATCTCATGGTTGCCACAGCTACACTACCTCTTTGCCTGTCTCATCACATATTATCTGAAGGAGTCAAATTCTACAAATGGGAAAGGATAAAACCTTTCAGCATAATATAATCTCTAATGTTTTGGCACTTTATTTTAAATATTTTGAATTTGTGGATAAGGATTTAGCATACTACATTCCTGTTAAAAGGACTGACATATTCATCAGCATTATCATGTCTAGAACATCTAAATGAAATAGTTATATATGCCAATGTTTATTAGATAATATTTGGATGAATTTCCAAAGCTTATAAATTTACTTTAGTTTTGTTTTGATTTTTTTTAACATTAAATTAATCAATGTACATGTATGTCTTTTTTTTTTCCAGCTGTGATGAAAATGTTGATCTGGACATAAGTATAGAAGAAGCTAATACAGTTCTGAAATTGTTTCTAAACAATAAATTCAGTGAAGCCAGAAGACGTCTTGAACCATGGTGAGATCAGTTTTTTTTTCATTGAAAAAATACGTTCTTATCGTAATGAAAATCCAAATAACTTTCTTTTTATAGTTTTTAAATAAAATTATAAATTGATTATTGATATGTACTAATTTCAAATCCAATTTTCATCATTATTGAACTGAAGAGCATATAGTTTACAATTTACTTCTGATATAGCTGATGACTTTTAATATATTCAGCTATAATGTATCTAATTTGTATATGACTGTGTCAAGTGGGAATAGAATAGCCTCACTCAAAAGAAAACAATGTTCTAGAAAAGAAATGATAAAATTAAATCATGAAATACTCTTGATACATTTTATAATGAAACTGTTGGCAATTTATTGAAGTTGTCACAATAATTACTTCAGATTACTTCATATTATTTATATTAAACATATTTTGATGAATATGTATTTGCTTTACAGTATATGAATATGTATTTGCTTTACAATATGCAGTTATGTTTAAAATTTCTCTAGTTATAAGAAAAACTTTTGTATAATTTTGTATATTTTTTATTCTTCAACTTAAATGTTGGTGGAACAAATTGTCAGTTCTTATTAAACCTAATCTACAACTGACTTGCCTGTATATTTTAGACTATATTAAGTGCATTAAAGATGATTAGTTGCACTATATGACCACATTCTATATTGCCACCATACTGGTTGTCAACGTGATAATTGAGTGTCAGTCTTACAGTTAAGGAAATTTAATCATAACTTATAATGAAAACAGTTTATCATTATATCTTATCTAAAATGAACTTCTTTTTCTCTTAAAATTCCTGTGGTAATTGCTCTCACATCCTATATATAAGAAAGATTCATTTTGTGTATTCAAAATACAGGTGCATCCTGTAAGATAATTCCTATAGTAATCTATTGAAGAGATACTTCAACTAGATTTACAATTCTGACACAAGGGTACATTTAATTGAGCACTTACCAAAAATGCAAATGCTCTCCACTGTACCAAATTATTTAGAGTTTGATTTCTTTATCGCATAAATCCTCTATTAACATAAAGTTTTACTTCTATTCTTCATGAACATATGTATATATCTAGGCATACTTGTATTTCCTATATTTATGTAAATAATGTATAACTTTGACTAAATAAACCAGAGAATCAAATATTAATAAAACTTTATTCAGTTGTATTTTCATATTCTAAAATGGTATTTAATATGAAAATTAAAATAATACCAGATAGTTCAAGCCAGAAGATAAATTAACATTCAATTTAATCAGTGTATTTTTAATTTAGCCTATTGATCCCTGAAACCTTGACCACCTCTGAACATTTGGGATAAATTTCACTCTTTCAGAACTGCCTATTTGTTATTCAATGAAGAGTAACATTGTCTTTCTTTTAAATTGGTTACCATCAAAGGCTACAGAATCCAGTCTATTCTATGATTTAAATATAATTGGGGAAGAGAACAGATGGATTCATGCTTTCCCTTAAAGCATTTATGCAAAAAGGAATGCAAAACAAGCAGAAATTTGAAGTCAATTTGCCAATTACACTTTCTGCACTGATGGCCATTATACTACCTGTATATACTTATTAATGTCTATGAATTATTAAAGTTTCTACATAGTCATAGTAATTTTGTAATTCTTGATAATGTTTTAGGGATAAGTTACATTTCAATGATTTTAAACAGATTTTATTTTTGCTAGAAACACAACTAAATTGATAAATTAATAGATGCATGTAGATTCTTGACTGAAATATTTCTTATTAAAAGTTGACTTGTCTATATTTCTTTGTACCAATTTCTACCAATGAATTTTAGTATGTGTACCACTGAAGTAAATTCTTATAATGAATTTTAAGGTACTATTGACATTAAAATCAGTGCAATGCCATTAACATTAAAACTTACCCAGGTAATCATTTATTATTCAATAGAATAATTTTAGATGATATTGTACTATATGACAACCGTGTGTTCATTAATATAAAATTAATTTCTCCTTATTTGACATTATATTTCTTTGCCCATTAGTCAATATTTCTTATTTAAATTAATTTAAAATAGCTGTACTTCCATGTTAATTTGTTAATCCCTAAACACTGATTTTTATTATTTTTATACTAAAGCATTATTTTCTGTAAGTATTTTAATCTTTAATGTTAGCTTTTTTTTTTATAAGTCTTTGTAAGCGACTTTTGCAAAAAGTGTTTGACTTGCAAATCAAGACAAATGATCTTTTCTTACCAGATATAACAATCTCTCAATTTTAAACAGTATCCAATTATCATTTATATTTTAAAGAATCTATTATGTAGAAGAAAAAAATCTCTTCAACTCTTAATTTGCAATTATTTTATAATTAGTGACTGATGGGAATAACCAGGCCAGATCTGCATTCAATTGGATATATTAATTTTTCTCACTCCTTTTCATTCATTATATAAAGGATCAATTTGTAAAATAAAAAAAAAAACAAAAAAAAAACAAACATTATTTAATTTAATAAACTGTTACGAAAAAAGGAATTTGTTTGGTAATAAATTATTACTGTCAATTTGGGGCTTCAAGGACAGAATATTAACTCATGAATGAATAAGTTGAATGATATTCTGGTGCTTTTTTGTTTTAGTCTTTTTTTTTTAATTCCACCTCCTATCATGACTCTCTACAGATTCCTTTTCTTTATGATCTGTGAATTGTCATGACTTCTTGAAAGAGTTTTCCTGTTGCATTCTCCATGGTTTGGATTCAGTTTTCCTTCTCTTAGAATGGTTGCCATCAAATGCTAAGACACAGTCTACCCTACTATTTAACTCATAGCTGAAGAGACTTATTACTGATTTTTCCAAGAGCATTTGTATGAAAATAAATGTAACAAAATATGCTTGAGTTTGAAGTCAGCTTTCTAATTCAACTTTTTGCACCAATATCCGTTACACTACCTATATAACCTGCTGTCTGTACTGTTGCTGCTGGTGTTGCTGCGAGATAACCAGTTGTTCTACATTTATTTTTATAACCTCATTAAAAAGTTCTTCACTTGTTTTTTTTCCTTAATTCAGTTTCAGGCAATCAATTGGGCCAATCATGCATATTTGTGTGTATGTATTGTTTACTATTTTTTTTTTTCTATGTGCATGCAAAGCATAGTAATTCTTCACTGTTAGAGTTTTACATCAAATGTCTTTAATTAATAATTCTTTTCCCTGACATTATGCATCACTAAGGTTCTCTTTTACTTGGGTTCATTTTCTTTTCTTTTAATTTAAAAATTCTCAAAATTATTCTTATCTGTAGAACTTAATAGTCTTGGGATCTCATGAGCTTTGATTTTAAGGAATTCTTTGGTTAGTGGGTCACTTAAGCCAGTCCAATCACTCACAGACACATTCACAAAAATCAAAAGGAATCATTACTTTCATTTTCTTCTCCCCCTCTTTTTTTTCTTCTAAAAGCTTGAGGAATGCTTTATAATCACTTCTGCTACTTATATCTCATATTATAACTGCTAATTTGTTTCAATGACCTGTCTCTTTCTCTCTCTCTCTCTTGACAGTTATTGATTTAACCCCTTTTTTTTTTCTTTTTTTTTTTTTTTTTGACTGCAATTGCTTAATCATCTTTAACTTTTAACTCCCTCTTCTCGATATTTATTGATTGATTTATTTACCCATCTGGCTCATCACCCCAGTCTACCCTTTCTCTTGCTTATAACACACTTCAACATTTTAAAATTATCTTTCTTCTGATGATCTTTCTTGTTTGTTGTTTTTTTTTTTTTTTTTTTTTTCATTACCCAAATCTTTTCTCTGACTATTTTTTTTTGTTTTTTTGTTCAGATCACATCAGACAACAAATCTAGATATCTGGGAATTTCTTTGGTTAATTTTCTGATTATAATTTTTTTTCTATTTTTCTTCCATTACACAGGTCTTTCCTCTGACCATTTATTTCCAATTTACCTATCCAAATATCTGGGAATACCTTCAGTCAACCTTCTAACTGTAATATCTTCCATTACCAAAGTCATTTCTGTGATCATTTTTTTTCTTTTCCCAATTTATAGATGTAGACATCCAAAATTATATCAGTTTGTCCATCCAAATTTCTACCAAAACCTGTTCTATTTTTTTTCTTATTGTCAACTACTTTTCTTTTTTCTTTTTTTTTTTTTTCTTTTATTTTTTTATTTTTTGCATTACCCAATGGTCACCTAATCTTAGTCATCCCATGTGTTCTTCAATATCTTTTTATGTTTGTCATTACTGATTGGAAAATTTACTGCCTGTTTTATTATATATTTCCAATCTGATCGTAAGATACCTAAAGAGGCCAATAGTTAAGCCAAAACTCACACACACTTGGGAGTGTGCACTCCCTCAAACAATGCAGGGTATGTTCAATCAGGGGTGTTCCTAGTCATCCTCCTAATCACTAGCTTCATTTAAATAATTCATTTTTTTTTTTATCCCCAAGCATTCCTTTTCTAATTCCTGGACAACTCAAGTCCCAGTCAATTTTCTTTTTTTTGATTGGTCCTTTTCCTTAGTAGCATTTCTTCTCAATTCTGTTAAAGGGATCTCTCTCTCTCTCTCTCTAATACTTTTCTACCTTCACAACATTCCTTCTTATCATAAGAGTGTGTCAGTTCCTTTTTCTAGTAAGTATAATTTATTTTGACATGGTTATTACAATAGCTGCAGGCTGTTTTACAACAATTTCTTATCAAAGGCCCCAGTTTTAACACTTGACCTCTTTTTGTCTTTTTTTTTTTTTTTTTTTTTTTTTCTGGCACTAATTGTATTTATCTTGGCCACCTACACTTGCAGATTAAAAATGTTTCTATCAGAGTTACTTTTGTGATGGTGGGGTCTTTTCTCTACCCCTATTCCTATCAGAGTACATGCATTGTTTACCCTCAATAGTCCATTTTTTCTACACTTGCTACATCTGCACTGTATTTCCAGAGACAGCCCCATAGTTCTCAGGCATACTTTTGTTC